ACTAAAAATACAAAATTTAGCTAGGCATGGTGGTGCATGCCTGTAGTCCCAGCTACTTGGGAGGCTGAGACAGGAGAATCGCTTGAACCCAGGAGGCAGAGGTTGCAGTGAGCCAAGATTGCGCCACTGCACTCCAGCTGGTGACAGAGCGAGACTCCATCTCCAAAAAAAAAAAAAGGTTAATGATAGATACATTCACTCTGTAGAACAGCTCATAAACTGTAGGTATCAAACGGCAGTTAAGCAACACAAACACACAATTTAAAATTAGGGAATTTACCATATAACAACTTAGAAATGATATAGCTTAAAAACACATATATATGAGAAAAATGTACAATTTCTCATAAAAATGTTGGGATATAGTCCATGCAAAGCCATCATCACTAATTTTTAAAAACCACACACAAAAAAATCATGACTAAACTTGTGATGATTACTCTCCCTGAAACTACACATCACAAATTAGTAGTAAAATGGTTCTTACTGTGCAAAGTTCTAGAATAAATAAAGGAAAGAAATTTGAGTAGAATGGCATAAAAGGGTAGCATAAATAATAAACTTACCCTTCAGATAAACTTGGGAAGATTTAAATGAGTTAAGCCATGAGGTAGTCACAGAAATAATTAAAGTAAGAAGAGCAAGCAGTAAGAAAATCCGGCCACAAAGCAAAAGAAAATCCTTGATTCCTGACAAAGGAAAAAAAAAAAAATTAAAATTCAAAACTTTTTGTTTTAAGAGACGAGGTCTCACTATGTTGACTAGGCTGGTCTCAAACTCCTGAGCTCAAGTGATCCTCCTGCCTTGGCCTCCCAAAGTGCTAGCTAGGATAATAGGAGTGAGCCAACACGCCCAACCCAAAACAGTTTTCTTGATACTCCTAATAAATTATAACACATTAGAAGATTATCTATACTAGGAAAGTAAAGTTATATAACTGTCTTATAATTTTGTTCATATATAGTCATCCCTTAGTATGCATGGGGTATTGGTTCCAGGACTCCTGAGTATACCAAAATCCACGGATGTTCAAGTACCTGATATAAAATGGCATAGTGTTCGCATATAGTCTATACTCCCACATACTTTAAATCATCTACAGATTATTCATATACTACCCAATACAGCGTAAAGGCTCTATAAATAGTTGCTATACTTTACTGTTTATGGACAGGGAAAAATGTCTGTACATGGTCGGGACAGACAAACATCCATGTACCCCATTTTTTTTCTGAATATTTTCTTTTCTTTCCTTCTTTAAGAGACAGTGTGTTGCTCTTCTTGGTCTTGCTCTGCCACCCAGGCTGCTGGAGTGCAGTGGTGAGAACACGGCTCACTGCAGCCTCAACCTCCTGGGGCTCAAATGATCCTCCTGCCTTAGCCCCGCCAAGTAGCAGGGACTACAGGCATGCACCACCACACCCGGCTAATTTCTGTATTTTTTGTAGAGATGGGGTCTCGCCATGTGGTCCAGTCTGGTCTTGAACTCCTGAACTCAGGCAATCTGCTCGCCTCAGCCTCCCAAGGTCCTGGGATTGTAGGAGTGAGACACCACACCCAGCCCTTTCTGAATAGTCTCAATCCACAGGTGCTTAAATCCTCGGATGTGGAACTCACGGATACAGAGGGCTTACTGTGTTCTCCTTTGGGCATTAAAAAACTCATAATGGTTGTCATTTCCAGAACAAATGTACAGAGCATAATTCTAGAATAAACACTATCTTGGGATAGTGTATAATTGGGATAACTGTATAGTTATAATTAGAGCAATCAGCTACACTAAAAATATGAATGTCAGTAATGTATAAGTTGTAGTTTCCCATATAGAGAAAATTACATAACTAGAAATAAAATTGTGAAAATATCGTGTTGGTCGGGTGTGGTGGCTCACGCCTGTAATCCCAGCACTTTGGGAAGCTGAGGTGGGCAGATCACGAGGTCAAGAGATCAAGACCATCCTGGCTAACACAGTGAAACCCTGTCTTTACTAAAAATACAAAAGATTAGCCGGGAGTGGTGGCGGGTACCTGTAGTCCCAGCTACTTGGGAGAGGAGGTGGAGCCTGCAGTGAGCAGAGATCGCACCACTGCACTCCAGCCTGGGTGACAGAGAGAGACTCTGTCTCAAAAAAAAAAAAAGAAAAGAAAAGAAAAGAAAAGAAAAAAAGAAATCATCCTGTCAAATTCAAATTCTAGTTCTACGATAAACATTCTCACTGAAACACCAAATCCTTATTTCTCACAATTGTGTAGCTGTGTGCTTCTGTATTTCTTGACATTTAGTCACTTGTAAGTAAAATTACAATTTACATGCTTGCCGAGGAAAAAGTAAAAATTTAGTATTTGGTCTTTTTATTTATTTATTTATTTATTTATTGAGACGGAGGCTCACTCTGTTGCCCAGGCTGGAGTGCAGTGGTGCAATCTTGGCTCACTGCAACCTCTGCCTCCCGGGTTCCAGCTATTCTCTTGTCTCAGCCTCCTGGGTAGCTCGGACTACAGGCATGCACCACCATGCCTCGCTAATTTTGTATTTTCAGTAGAGACAAGGTTTCACCACATTGGACAGGCTGGTCTCAAACTCCTGACCCGGAGTGGGTGGTGATCTGCCTACCTCAGCCTCCCAAAGTGCTGGGACTACAGGCATAAGCCACTGCACCCAGCCAGTATTTGGTCTTATATTAAGAATCAAAGTGAAAATTATTTGAGCAAAAATCTACTACCTACTTTGCATAATACAATTTGGCAAATGTTGAAGGACAGGTGACAAAGCTGAGTTAAAAATGATTTCCATCCTTTCGGAATTTTTACTCTTGTGTTTTTAATTCTCAAAAGATAAACGGCAGAGATACAGAGGAATCCAATGTGATCAAGGCTGGTAGTCAATTAACTAAAACTTAAAGAAGGAATTAGAAAAACATATATATAGGCTGGGAGAGATGGCTCATGCCTGTAATCCCAGCACTTTGGGAGGCCAAGGCAGACGTATCACCTGAGGTCAGGACTTCCAGATCAACCTGGCCAACATGGTGAAATCTCCACCTCTACCAAAATATAAAAATTAGCCAGGCATGATGGTGGGTACCTGTAATCCCAGCCACTTGGGAGGCTGAGGCAGGAGAATGGCTTGAACCCGGGAGGTGGAGAATACAGTGAGCAGAGATCAGGCCATTGCACTCCAGCCTGGGCGACAGAGTTTACAGACGTAAATGTTTTATTTTAAACTGAAAACAGATGTATATTCTTACCTTTTTTTTTTTTTT